TACTCTAAACTTTTAAATCTACCTACTACAAGAACTATGTAAACAGGCAAAAGGAAAACTCGTACAGCCAACGGCCCAGTGTTAGTAATTGCGAGAATTATGAATCCCTACCTGTACCGATTACTTAAAAAAAAAGAAAATGTTGGTAAAATAAACTAAAGTAGGTACTTTGGTATTCTTTTGCTTTTTCGTTTTTTTTTTTGTATTTTTGTCGCGAAAATAAGTTCTAGTAAGAAGAACGATAACGAAAATACACTAACGGATACACGTTCAACCATATCCTCAGAAGTTCAGCAGACTATTTTTATTACTATGCGCCTGGATAAATAACAACATTTTTTTACTTTTTCTGTTTAGTCTTTTAAACAAGAAAATTAATTTGTATTTATTTTGTTAATACAATGCACTTTAATTATGTATTGTATCTGTATATTTGTATATCTGCTGTATATTGAGTATGTCGTCAATGAATTACGCAAATGGAGTTGTTATTGTGCAATAAATATGATTTTTATAGTACCACCCTTAGAATAATAACGCATAGAAACCTAGTCCGCACACGCTAAGGGAGGCAAATTGAAGCGCTCCCAAAGGGCCTACACGAGCGGGCGGGAGCTCCAGAATTTTAGCTAAAAATGACAAAATGTGCGGTAAATGAGTGTAAAAATACGTCAGAGAAACATAAAATAGATACTAACATCACATTCCACAAGGAAGTAACGCGTTTCAACTTGTATTTTTATATAAATATTCACTAAAACCGAAAATTAACCTACTACTAAAACTAGCCTACATGAATTTGATTTTTGCCTCACTTGTGACAGTTCGTTTGATATGAAACTATCATTCTATGCGTTATTATTCTAAGGTACCACCAATCACTGTGAAGTATTCAAGATGGACTTTTTTGTGTACCAACGTGTGCGCTGCTTTTTCTTATTCTTTTATGAATTAGTGTATTGTTCTTGTAAAAACTGCAATGTTGACGTACTCGTAACAAATGTCATATTTATAACAAAATGTTTGAGGTTTTCCTTTCATGTGTTAAGAGCCATTCGGATAATTATAAGATAGACGGAACTACAGATTGAACACTTTAATAATAGCGTTGATAGCTCGATTCGAGGACTCTAAAACTGAACTTCGACCCACGCGACTCCGACAACATGTTACATCGATGTGATTTTACTCAGACATTACGTTACTCCGACAATACGTTACTTCGGCATTATTTTACTCAGACACTACGCTACTCCGACAGCATGTTACATCGACATGATTTTACTCAGACACTACGCTACATCGACACCACAGACGAGGTGTTTATAAAAAATCTTTGTACTCTGATAAGAAAAATCATCATTACAAACCCATCTAGGAAATGGGTTCTTATTATAAAAAAAAAAAAACAAAATCATATCGAAAATTCTTTTATTAGTTATATATAGTGTAACAAAAAACTATTAAATTAAAATATAAATTTTTACTACACTAGAATAGAATAGAATATCATTTATTTCTTGTAGATATGGTAAGTACAATATAAATTAGATGTTACAAATTAAAATAGAGTTTTAGCATATTTTGCCAACAAGTGGCATAGAAATATTTCAATAGTCATAATAATTGTGATGAAACATGTCAAATATAAAAGTTTTATATTTATCTTTATCTATTTATTTATCAAAAGTACAATTAAATGTCAGAAATTAATAAAAAAAAAATTATAATATGATTAAAATTAAGTTATCATGCAGGAAATCACTGACATTGTAATAACATTTTTCAATCAATAGTGATGTCAATTTCTTTGTAAATAATGATAATGGTAGTGATTTTATGTCTTCCGGTAGTTTGTTATAGATTTTAGGCCCCATGGCAACTACACTCTTTCTCAACAATGCTGTTTTGTAACTACCTGTTAACAATAAGTTACTATATTGTGATCGCATAGGCCTTTCTCTGACATCCGATAACTTTATAATTTTTTTTTATATTCATTTTTACAAAGTGCATATTTCCAGGATATATAAAGAGGGTAGAGTTAATATGCGATTTGAGATGAACTTTGGTCTGCAACTTTCTGTTGGTTTTAGTCCACACATGGCTCTAATGCACCTTTTTTGACATTTGAAAATACTTTCTCTCTCACTACAATTCCCCCAGAATATAACACCAAATCGTAATAATGATGCAACCATGCCATGGTAAGCTACTACTACGGATTCCAGTGTAACTTTCTTAGACAAAGCGAAGAGCGCATATGCAGATTTACTAAGTTTCCTACAAAGTTCTTCTGCTTGAGGTTTCCATGTTAATTTATTGTCTAGAATTATATCTAAAAACTTAGTCACTTGTACCTCCTCTACATGCTGCCCCTGATGCTTAATATCCAAGTTTCCAACTCTTAGTCTTTGGTAAAACTGCATAATTTTAGTTTTTTCTAAATTTATTGTCAAATTATTATGTTTTAACCAAGTTATCATTCTAGCTAGAGCATCATTTACATTAGTTTCATGTGTCTTGGGGTTATTATCTTTGGATTTTATTATGACCGTACAATCATCCGCGAATAAAACCATGTCGTGATCATTTATTGTTCTAGGGAGATCATTTATATAAATGAGGAATAACATGGGTCCAAGAACACTGCCCTGTGGAACGCCATATTTTATTAGCCTTGGTTCGGATAAGAATACTTCTTCATACTTAGTTTCTGGACAAATTCTTCTAATTTCAGTGTACTGTTCCCTACCGCTTAGACACGATTCCATCAATTTCAGTATATTCCCTCTAATTCCGTAGTCGTCAAGTTTTTTTAATAGTTTTAAGTGATCTACACAGTCAAAAGCTTTCGTCATGTCAGTATATATTGCGCATACCGCTTTCTTTTCATCTACATTCTTCATTATATTGTTAAGTAAATTGAAAATTGCCATATTAATAGTGTTATTCTTTCTAAATCCTATTTGTTCATTACATAAAATGTCAAATTTGTTGAGATAATCATGAAGAAAGTCATAAATAATATACTCAAATATTTTTGATATTATTGGTATTAATGTATTTTTATTTACAGTATGTTTTTGGGTAAATTAAAAATAAGGCACTCGTTTTATAACATTTGCGTTCAGAATTGGGTGGTTTGCATTAATATTAGACAACTGGTTGATGATAATACCATCTCAGTCAGCCGTGACCATGAGATTGTAAAATGACCGAAATATTTGTTTGTTTGAAAAACCAAATATACGCGATTTAAACCCGATAAAAAATAGTTTCATTTCAAATTAATTATCAATTTACTCACATTGTTTGAGAAAATCACTATATAAGCCTCGGCGGAAACAGGGATTGCTTGACTCTTATTAATACTCGTCCAGCAGTCCCTTACTTCCCGGCCTCGGCAATAATGCACTATTTTCAAACTCAATGTCTGGCACTTAGAATAATAACGCATAGAATGATAGTTTCATATCAAACGAACTGTCACAAGTGAGGCAAAAACCAAATTCATGTAGGTGTAAGCAACTTGTATCTACGCTCGTCGGCACGCACACAAATATACAAATAATGATGCCATGGAAAAACATTTACCTCAAAAGTGGGGAAATTGTATCTTGCTTAACTCATCATTAAGTTAAAGGTGCCTACAGATTTGCCCGAAATTGTCGATCAGGTGCCTACAGATGTGCTCGATTTTGTCGATCGTTACTCTCGATCGACAATGTCGATCAGGTGCCAGATATGCTCGGTTTTGACGATCGTTACTGTCGATCGACAATGTCAAGTGACAAGAATTTTCAAAAATGTATTTTTGGTAATCTTTATGGAAATGTCATTTATATCTGAATACACACACACACAATTTCAAATAAATGCAATATGGGAGTCATTTTCGAAGTATTCGAGGTGCTCATTGCGAATATGGCACTCATTTCTAAATCCAAGATAGCGGGCACGATTTTTCGAATAATTGCAAGTTGGGTATCGTTTTCAAGGTATTTAGGGGTGCTCATTACAAATATAGCATTTATTTCTAAATCCAAGATGGCGGACACGAGTTTTCAAATAAATGCAATATGGGTATCATTTTCGAGGTATTTTAGGGTGCTCATTACAAATATGGCACTCAATTCTAAATCCAAGATGGCGGGCACTATTTTTCAAAAAAAAATGCTATATGGGTATCGTTCTCGAGGTATTTGGGGGTGCTCATTACGAATATTGCTTTTGTTTGAACTGTCGCGTCCGACATCTTGGATTTAAGGAAATAAGTACTATATTCGTAATGAACACCCCCATATACCCCGTACACGATACCCAGAATCAAAATCAAAATAATCTTTATTTCATAAGTAAGCATTATTTCACTAGAAATCGTCACATTGGTTAAACTCTACCGCTCATTCGTAAGGCAGATTCCCCCGAGAAGTATGAGCATGAAACTCTAGGGGTTGCTGTTTGTAAACAACATTTGTACGCATTTAACTTGCAGAAATGGAGGTCAAATGCACACTTACATTAGAATAAAAAAAAATCTGCAGTAATCGCAATATTGCCTATTCTCAAAAAATTACGTAATATAATTATTTTGAAACAGAATAGCAAAATTGAGAGAAAGAAATCCGTTACTTTGCAACATTTTCGTGTCTTGTTGCAACGAAATTAATTTTCGGTTTTAGTGAATATTTATTTATTTTTTTTTTTTTTAATTTCTTGAGGAACAAACAGTTTTACATATTTAAAAATATACATACTTAAAATTAACATATTACTAAACCTACAGTTCCCTAAATATGCATATAAAACAAAAAAGTATACGGTATACTGACACTTATAAACGTAAGTTTTATAAACGTTAAAAAAAACAAAGTAAAATGAACGCAACACCACCCGTATCCCTCAAACTATGCAACGAACGCACATTTTCTAAGTTTGCTGGATGACAGGCACCGGTTGGTTACGTTCGGGAGCGAGCGGTCGTGCTACGCAACGAGATAAGTACTAAAATGCTATAGTGTAAATTAACATAAGTCGGAATCTAAATGATCCGGAGACCTAAAAAAGAAACAATTGTTCAATACAGGTCGCAGTGTTTGTATAATGCGATGTGTTTACTTTTTGATAAATACTTATTATTAGTATTTATATGACGGCTTGCGAGAACCCCGGATTTTGCAATGTAAACTCCACGCACCAAACGTGGTGTATACTGTAGGTAAGCATGACAGCAAATGTTACTTATTACCTTATATTAACTAATAAATTATTATGAATGAAAATAAAATCTTAATATTAATAAATTGCATTTCAGATAATAACATCTATAATTATAATTGTATGAATCAAGGACAGTGATGATGATGATATGATCGTCATCTATAGCAAGATATTAAATTCTTCATCATAAAAAAAAATAAATATGAATGGATGGCGTGAAGGCCAGAAACTTTAGGTATGAATAGAACGTGTTTCGATTACCTATTATTACGGGAAAAATGCTTATTTTGTGGTAATGTTGTGAAATATTAATTATTAATTTCGTTCCTTACAGGTCTCCTGACTCCATTTAATGACGTAACAAAACTCAGGACACAACAACGGCGCACTCGCCGCTATGAGGACTTATATTACTAATATAATAAGTACACGAATAATAGAAAGTAGCAAACAACCAGTTAAGCAATACAAAAGAATAATCAAAAATTACAAAAAAACAATTACCTACACTATTTTAGTCAACATTAGCACATATAAGGTCAGTGATGTGGTTTTTAAATTTTATTAACGATATATTAAATAATTCTATACTACCTAATTGTCTATTATATGAGGCACATGCTCTTTTTATAAAACTATTACTGCCATAGCCAGTTTTACTTGATTTTATGGCGAAAAGATATTTTTTACGGCTTGTTCTTTCCTGTTTACGCGGTACTCGAAAATAAATTTGTTCCAATAGAACAGGGGCGTCAACCATATTATGCAATATTTTAAACAAATACGTGATATCAGTGATATCGCGACGTTGTCTCAAGGTGCTTATTTTATGAAATACAAGGGAAGATTCATAATCTATGTGTTGATTACCGGTTCTATAATCTAAGGACTTTACAAACTTTCTTTGTAACTTTTCAATTTTATCTTGATGGACCCGTTGGTGAGGATTCCAAACCGGACTTGCGAATTCAAGTCTACTTCGCACGTAACTGTTAAATAACAGTTTATAAGTAGAAGCATTTTTAAAAGGTTTTCCCACACGCAATATGAATCCTAAAAATTTGTAAGAATTTGCGACTATCTTATCTACATGGGGAATGAATGAAAGTTTGGAATCCATTACCACACCCAAGTCCCTAATTTCACTAACGCGATCCAGATCGTGGCCACAAATTTTATATGGGTATACTACTGGATTTTTTGATCTTGTAAAAGAAATTACGAAACATTTATTTAAATTCAAAAATAAATTGCTACTATTACAAAACTC